TGTATGTATGATTTATAAGCTTGTTTCCTCATGGGGACCTCAAAAATGTCCCCACAAGGTCAAAATTCACTAGTATTACTATCCTTGTGGGGACATTTGGTCCCCATAACGTGATAAATACCAGGTACACACACACACACACACACACACACATATATACATACACACACACTTTACGCATATATATAATAAAGTTATTATATATATGAGCCATTGTTGGATGTGTAAATATATAGCATATTAAATATGTAATATAGCTATTATACAGATTTCTTTAATATCATTGTGTAGGAACATTGCACTGTACAATAACCTTTTTTTTGCTTGGCTAGCTAAACAAGGAAGAGTTGCAAAACAAAACAAAACCAAAAGTATATAAACGTATATGTAGTTTTTAGGACAAATTGAAGGAAATAATAATAATAATAATAATTTGCTTACAGGAACCATTATATGTTTAAATACCATTGCAGTATTTTGTTTTGCTAGCTTCAGATTATGAGGATTCGAATAAAAACCACTGTATTCGAGTAATCAGAGTCTAATTAGAATCATCATTTAGAATAATGAGAACTACACAAGGAAAACGTCCAAATGCATCTGCTCTAATGAGAAAATATTGTGAAAATAATGAGACAATACAAATATTCAGAATTCTTTTAAAAACAGTTTACAGATTTTTTATTACACTTTTTTTCCCATTTAAATTTGTAATTGAAACAGTCATATCTTGTTTGCTTCGCATTAAAGCAGAATAATTTGGCTAGCTAACCATAGAAACAAAATAAAACAAAACAAAACAGTATATACAGTCAGTTTTCATCGCAAATTTAAGATAATAATAATAATAATAATATGTTTAAAGAAAATGAAGCCTGTTTTGTTTTTATATACTTCATTACATGTTTATATATATATATATATATATATATATATATATATATATACATATATACATATATATCATTAGTATTTTATTTTGCTGCCCTCAATTTATGATGATTCACCTAAAAACTATTGTATTAAATGTCCAAATGCATCAGCTATAATGACAATTTGGGAGGCAAACATCATCAAAATAATGTGAAAAATGTAGAATTCTTTAGACTTTAGAAACAAAGTTACTTTAGAAAATATGCTGTCCTTTTTTCCCCTCTTTAGATTTTTAAGTGAAATATGAGCTCCAGCTCAGTGGTCAGCAGATGGATCTCATGCAATTTAGAGAATCTCTAACCCAGGACACAGTTACAGTCCCTCAGGAGGACTGCAGAGAGACGACTCTGCCTTATCATAGTGAAACGCCGCTTTGTATGTCACCTCACACCTGTACATATTCTCAGCACTCCATTTATGAGCCAGAACCGAGTACAGTCCCACAGCCCAGAATGTGCCTCCAGGCTCTCGGTGCACTTGTGGAGAGCTGGCGTGTTTTTTCAGACCTGTGGCTCCGTTTACCTTCCATGTGATCCTCAGCGCTTTAGACTGTAAGCCGGTGATGACACACGCCAGCGTCACTCTCTCTGATCGCTGCTTCTGACCTCCAGCAGGGAGAAGAACATGCACTTTCGGAGTCACCTGGCGTTCAATACGGATGTGAGGAACTGAAAAACATGTTAATGATGAGTATAAACTGAGCAAAACCACATTTCTGAACTTCCTGAAAGCATCTCTTACCTTCCACAATAAGTCGAAGTCCTCTGCTAAACATCTGGTTCATTGTGTCCTTCTCACCTGAAGCAATGCTGTAATAGAAATCTCCAATGAGCTATATGATCAAGACAGTAATTGATTTATTCGATTTTGGCTTTAAAGTCTTACCGCAGCAGAAGAAGTGAGATAATAATGATAATCACACTAGTTGCCTTTCTATTCTTGTTCATTTCTTTTCTGTTTCATTGAATTTCTTTATATGTATTGTGTGTGTGAGCGAATGCTGTCTGAGGTATAATTTCCCTCTAGAGCCAGTGAAGCTTGATTTGATTCAGTGTTGACTCTTATGAAGTTGACACAGAGGTTGACGGCTGAGGGAAGAACGTCCCATGTGCTCATAAGCTGTGTGCAGATGGTCCATTTAAAAGCAATCAACCATTACACTGTTGATTCCTTCACAGGGTCAATGAATCAGGTTTTAGGAAATTCATGTTTTTAACATTAATAGAAATATTTTATTACAATGAAATCTTGAAAATTGTATTTTAATATATGTTATAAAATTACAAATATTTTTTTAAATAGTATTTTACAATCAGTGGTGTCTGCAGCAGTTTCATTTTACTATCACTGATAGCTAATAATTTAATTTATTATTTAATTAATCAATTTTATTTTATACGTTCCAATTTCTTTTCAATTTTAGTTAAAGATTTATTTTATTTTTGTCTACATAGTTTTTATTCCTTTTTATTTCAATTTTTTTATTTTAGCACATTACAAGTTAAACTACATAAAAATTGAGAATGTTTTTCATATTTTATTTTATTTCAGTTACCGTTTGTGTTTTGTAGTTTTTATTATTTATATTATTTTATATTTGTCTACATAGTTTTTATTAATTTTTATTTAAATTTTTTTTATTTTAGTACATTACAAGTTAAACTACATAAAAATTGAGAATGTTTTTCATATTTTATTTTATTTCAGTTATCGTTTATGTGTTTTGTAATTTTTATTATTTACATTATTTTATTTTTGTCTACATAGTTTTTATTCATTTTTATTTCATTTTTTTATTTTAGTACATTACAAGTTAAACTATATAAAATTGAGAATGTTTTTCATATTTTATTTTATTTCAGTTATCATTTATGTGTTTTGTAGTTTTTATTATTTCCATTATTTTATTTTTGTCTACATAGTTTTTATACATTTTATTTCCATTTTTTTTCTATTTTAGTACAGTTAAACTACAGTATATAAAAATTGAGAATGGTTTAATATGTTATTTTATTTCAGCTATTGTTTATTTTATTTAAAGTATTGAAAATGTTTGTTTTCCCCCCCCTTTTTTATGGTTTTAGTTAGTCAACAATAATAACCACGCTGGGGCGGGCACCGTGTTATTTTATGCTATTTTATACAATCATATCTTTCACTTTTCAAAATCACAATGAATCATTTACATTTCATAGTTTATGCTACATGTGCGAGGTCTAATAGGTTTTTTATCCACAGATGCAGTGCTTTGTTAGTTTGACTTCTGTAATATAATATAATATAATATAATATAAACTTTTTTTTTACTGGAATGTATAGATTATCTGAAGTGCAGATCAGATGCAAGTACACAATTGCTGTTGTGTTTATTAATATTTTTCCATGATATGCTGAAAAGAAAATATTGTTTTTCTTTTCTGTTATACACCATAAATTATCAGTGTGTTAAAAACATATTTGACTGTTATTCGGTTAAGAGGGACCTAAAAACAGGAAAGAGCCGTTGGTTTACTGGCACAGACAGATGCTCGTTCTATCACAACACTGCCAGCACTTCTGCACAGATCTCCTGGGAGCCAACTAATCCAATTAGAGCAAAGTTTGCAGGTTTTGCAATGCAAGTCAGAAATATTGGAACATTAAGAAGATAGCTTTCATGAACTAGACACTGATGGAAAAGTGTTTTCCATAAATAAAGTTCATTTGCACAAGGATGCATTTAAGATCAGTAAATATCTAAAACATAATACATAATGCAGCATTTGCATTCAGTTGTCAAACATGCGCGTCTGGTTTTTGTCTGAAAACCCGCAATAATAAGTTCCAGTGTCATTTTGTAAAGTTGTGAGGATTTGTAAGAGGTGACGAGGGTTTAACCCTTCCCTGGTTAAGACGGCGTATCTGCTGTGGTCCAGTCCCGTGCCGCGGCGCACCCGTGAAGTGTTGGTGATATTGTAGGAGAGGATCAGCTGTGGCCCGTGCCATGGAGTCTGTTTATACCAGCTCAAAACCCCTTTACTGCTGTTGATCATCAATGGGCAGCTCAGTGTGACATTTTGCCCCTGCTGCACAGAAACGTTCAGTGAAGTCTTCCATAAAAAGCCTGAAATTAAATGTACAGTGAAACGTTTATGTAGAGTAAATAATGAAGAAATATATTCAGATCATGAATATTCTCAATATTATTAGTAGTGCAGTCAAACGATTAATCGCGATTAATCGCATCCAAAATAAACATTTTTGTTTACATAATATACGAGTGTGTACTGTGTATATTTATTGTGTATCACACACATCACACACATGCAAAGAAAAATATGTTATGTTTACATATTAAATATATTTATATATAATATTATATATTATATATAATTTTCAAAATATTTACTGTATGTTTGTGTATTTATATATACATAATAAATAAACACAGTACACATACATATATTATGTAAACAAAAACGTTTATTTTGGATGTGATTAATCGCGATTAATCGTTTGACAGCACTAATTATTAGTGTTTGGTAAAATTGGAAAGTCATGAGAACTTTAAAAACTAAATTATATATACATTTTAAATAAACTCATGAGTATATAATCCTTAAAAGTAGTAAAATAAATCAGTAGTAAAAAAATCATTAAAATATATAAAAAAACAGATATGAAATTTAAAACAGCAATATTATTTAAACATCAAATAACAAACTTGAAATAGTTGAGGAGAAATATGAGTTTAAAACACTTACAGTGCAGTGCCAGATACAGAAGTGAAAACAGCTTTATGTTGCAGCTTATGTGAAGATCCATTGCTTTATTATCTATATAAGTCAACTTGGGTGAGAGCTGTTCAAGTTTGGCTGTCTGTATAAACCTGCTTCCTGTAGGATGGTGAGTTCAGTCCTTACAGTTACACGAGTCTCTCAGGAGAAACGAAACTGCTGGAGGGAGGGTGCAAATGATGGGGTCATGACCCCAGGAAATGATACATGCAGATAATAATAATGCATATTTTAAAAGTGAAGATAAACACCATGGAAGCCGTTTCTGCCACTGAATAAAAATAAAAATAGGCAATTGTGACTTTTTATCTCAATTCTGACTTTTTTCTTGCAATTGCGAGTTTGCATCTTACAGTAATGTGGAGTGACAGATCGCTGTAGCGCCTCAGTTCAAGAGAAGCGGCAGTGTGCTTTAATACCTCCGCTTTAATACCAGTTACAGCACGAAATAAACATGAATAACCATCCAAATATGTATGTTAAAAGAAAAGGTACAACTTACCGAAATCCGTATCCTGTCTCAAGCTGTGTTTCAACTGCAGAAAGATGTCAATATAACAGCTTGTAGCCTAAACAGTAGGTCACATAAGGTCACATTTATCTCAGAAAAAAAAATATTCGGTGACAATTAAATCATTAGTCAGCTAGAAAAATCACTAAATATATGCACCATATAACATATTCATTATACTCTACTCTATACTCTTTATGTTTGAATAAATCTGTCAGGTTTTTATGACAGCCACCATTTAAATGTTTATATTTCAAAAAACGAATTGGAGTGGAAAAATACTTAAGTAATTGTAAAGTTACTATTATAACTAAGTTTTTCATTTTAAAATGTAATATAATTTAAGTGTTTGCATGCAAATCAGTTAATTTTAGTACCATCTGAGTCTCATGCATATTTTACAGCATTAGTTGAGAGATTTTTTTTTTTTGTCATGTACTGTACCTGATATATATCCAAAATAATTGATATTGAATCGAATGAAAATCAGAATCGAATCTCAGGCTTGTGAACAGAAATCAAATTGAATTGTGAAATTTGTGTCAATACCCAGCCCTACTAACTAGTACTTTTGCCTCAATAAACTCTTAATTTGCTGCCTATTAATAATTAGTAAGGTAGTTGTTAAGTTTCCGTATGGAGAATCTAATTATGGTCATGCAGAATGAGCCTTTAATATGTGCTTTATATAAACAGCCAATATACTAGTAATATGCATGCTTGTTAATAGTTAGAATTAGTCCTTAAAATAAAGTGTTAGCATACATTTTGCTTTTCTAAAGGAACGGTGGCATATTTTTTATACCAGAATCTTTTCTTACTTTTCACACGTGAGCAGGTTGATATTGTAATATGTCGATATTACAGCTTCTGCGCAAGCGCTCTCTATTCATGTGCTAAATCTAATAACCCAGAAAGCGATTGCTTCATTCTGGGGTTGATGGGGATGTAAAGGTCCAACCAGAGAATGCAATTGCTAACTACATTTTGCAATAATTTGTCATTATTCGCTGAGGGTTTGTTTGGATTTTCCAAGAGTCTGACCACAAAAAAAGCATGTGTGTCGACCTTGTTACTGTCCATTTATCACATCAGTCGTCGTTTGCATAAAACGTAATTAAACCTGGATCATGTCACATCAACGACATGCTAGATCCGTCTTTATTGCGATTCAATAGTCCTGTGGTGTGACATTCATTTTTAAAAGTACAGATGCTCCATGTAGTCTCAAAATAAATATGATCTCATTAAAAGTACACGAGAATTAGAAATATTAGTTGATAGATAATAATGTGTAGCCTAGGCTATATGTCACACTACAGAACATTTCTGTCAATTCTTGACATTTCTATTATATATGAGTGCTACGCATATATCATTATACAGTCTGGCATGTTTTATGGTACCAGTTATTAAAGGGGTCATATGATGTTGCTAAAAATAACATTATTTTGTGTATTTGGTGTAATGAAATGTGTTTATGCGGTTTAAGGTTCAAAAAACACATTATTTTCCACATACTGTACATTATTGTTTCTCCTCTATGCCCCGCCTTTCTGAAACGCGTCGATTTTTACAAAGCTCATCGGTCTGAAAAAGCGAGGTGTGCTCTGATTGGCCAGCGATCCAGTGTGTTGTGATTGGCCGAATCAAAGTAGTTT